CTCCAGCCTCGGCAGGGAGACTGAGGCGGTGCTGCCACCCTGGCTGAGAAAGACCTTCTGCGTCTGCAGCAACCTTAAGACGGGCTTAAGGTTGCTGCAGGCGCAGAGGCTCTTTCTTGGCCAGGGTGGCGGCGGCGGTGCCTCAGTCTCCCTGCCGAGGCTGGAGTGGCGAGGGGTGGAGAGAGAGACAAAGCACAGCTGATCGGCAGGGCTTTGCGATGATCGTGGGGAAGTGATCATCACAAAGCCCCGCCGATCAGCTGGCCGAAAAATGGGGGCTTTGCGATGATCGCTTCCCTGCGATCATCGCAAAGCGAATTTCCCCCGTAGGGGCCATCGCAAAACGAACACTTTTGCAATCGCAAAAACAGTGTCGCAAAGCGATTTCTTCGCAATGTGGAGTAATCGCTATGCGAGGCACCACTGTATTCACAGGTTTGATTCCATGGTAATGGTTTTACCATAGTACTCTGAATGTATTCTGCTCTTCTTGCCTCTGACCATCCATTAGCCAGATGAAGTCAAGTTAAAATATAGTTCTGAACTAGATGTAAAAGCATTGGCATGTACAACAAAGCAGGTGGCTAAGAACATAGATGAAATTAAAGATAAGAATTATTTAAAAATCTATATGGAGAAATAATATATGACAGAATTGGCACTTCTTATATGTTTTGTATTGATACTCAAGCAACTAGAATATTAAACTTTAAGTGACAGAGCTGAAACTAATTTGCCCAGGTTATGAAGACTAATAGTCTTAAGTATTTAAAACATTGGCTGAAATCCTGTTGCTAAGCATAGTAAGTGACAACTAGAGTAAGCCAATTTGAAAGAGTGGAACTTATCGGGGAGTTGATTTACTGGTACAATGGGCCTACCCTTGTTGTGGCTTATTACACTAAACAACAGGATTTCAGCCATTTAACTGCTAAGCGGGGGCTCTTTCAAATACATTTGAAAGGTGAATAAAAAGTTTTCTTTTACCAGCATTAGTGCTGGTGTAAACATTCTTTATCGCCCTTATGAAAGTTATTGAGGAATGTGACTCAGATAACAAATGTTCTTGTTCTTTAGTTACCTTCTGTGTGAGATTCAAAAAATAACCTTGTGATTCCTTCCTAGAAGCAAAGAGTTAGGCAATACCTTTATTGAATCACTAAAATGTTATAGTTCAAGCAAGCTTTCAAGGTCTACTGGTGCAAAGATTGTATAAAACTTGACGTTCAAGCAGCTTGTCCTAGAATTGGGCCAGATGTTACACTTCAGTCAGTCAGATTACCAGGAGAGCAAACTTGAGTTTTAGCTTTCGCACGAGACAGAGGAAACAAAAGCATAAATTTATGTGCTCTAGCTAGCTCATTGGAGACAAAAGTCTTGGTGCAGATCTGTCAGTTGCCCTGACCTAGGCTTCAAGCATCTGTAGTAAGATTGTAGAAAAACAGGAAGCTGCTGTTATTCCTTACATCAGCAAAACAGAAGAATAAATGTAGGTTCTGGGCTGGGCCAAAAAGCTCTGATAAAATCAAACTGGCAGTCAAACCATAGTAGTCAGAAGAGATGGATCCTCACTTGAATGCAGTCTTTTGGAAAATCCTCTTCCCTTTCTGGTGCTCCGTCTTATATTTAAAATTCTCCAAATATCACATTCCAAATAAATTGTTTTTCCCCACCCACCTCTATCACCTTTGTTCATTGTCCAGTTCATACATAATAGTACTCAGGAATATCAACTGGGGCAAATAAAATAAATATCCAGATTAGACAGAGCCACGAAGAGAGCAGAAATAACAATGGCAATCAGAGCAGAGATGTGGTGGATGAATGAAACTCTGTGAAAATAAAACAGTGTGATTGCTGTGGAAAAAAGGCTAATGGGCCAGAAATTGGTTAATTTCATGTCTGGCATAATGCCATTGGGGTAACTCAGTGCTGAATTGTTGCCAGTGAGGAAGTCAGTGCTATTATTTTCTAATTACACAGCAGTCACAAATTTGATGTGACCTAAAATAAAATTAAATAAATCAGTGGTGATTTCTTAACTGGTGGCAATTAGCTGCTGCAATTTATCCCAGTATAAAAATGTAATAAGACATAGTAAACTACGTAATGAGAGCCACTGAGGTGCAGTGGATAGAATGATAGACTAGGATTTAGAAGATGTAAATTCAACTCTATTTGTGGACATTTGCTAGGAGTGATGACACTGGTATAACTACTCATTCCTCACACCATAGAAAATCCTATTCGGGTCACTGTAAATTGGATAGAACTTGAAAGCACATGCCAACATCAGTACAGAAGAAGATTCCAGCCATTGTGCTCTAAAGAGTGATAGGAAAGTAGCTGAATATGAAACTGCCAGTAGAACCAAGCTCTTAGTGCTATACAAATTGTGTATTTGTATTTGAGATACTGTGTATAGTTCTGTCCAGCTTGCGAAAGATTTCAGATTTCTTATCTAATAGATGTTAATCCCACGTTTTGTATAGAATTTAGCATTAACTGTATGATGTAAGATCATTACAACTTAAAAAAATTTTACAGTAAGTTAAAGGCACAGGTTTCATTTGATACAAGCAAGTAAAGACCAGGGGCAAGATCTTCATACTTACACACGTTAAGGTTCAAGGGAAACGTGTGTATAATTTGTGTATTTTGCACTGGACTCAAAAGAACACCCAAAGAATTACAATAACAGCTAAGTGACTTTCAATTATGTAAACAGATTCTGTTTCAAAGTGCTATCTACACTAAGACAGGGTTCTGGTTGTGCTGTACTTTTTTCTTGCACACACTTCATTGATTTGGATCCAGGTCTGTTATATAACTACCTAAAATGTGCTAAAGCAACTCATATTGTCCAATTGTCATGCATTGCTTGATTATAGTCAACAAAGGTGGTCTTGTGTAATTATTGAATTTTTTAAATGGAGATTAAACTGGAATACTGCTTGTAAACACAAAGAAGCTGCCAACATATTTTCCATATAAAAAAGCTGCTTTTTTAAAAAATTCATTGTATACTACTAATTTATTTAAAAAAAGAAACAGGTGTAAGTTATTCTAGTTTAACAAAAGCTTTTTGAAAAAAAGCACTTCTAAGGCTGTATTCTCTTTTCTTATCCTCAGTCAGGCATAAATTAATAATATGGGAACACTATGCCACATCCTCCCACTTTTTTTAGTCATCTTCAAGGGTAGATGGAGTGTTAGTTATTATCAGACACTTTTGAGGCTAATGAGGCTTCTTTTTTCCTGGTATATAAGAAGAAAAGGCTATGCAAACCTCTCTTTGATTTATCCTGTAATAGCTAATGAACAAAATTTATCATGCATTTTAATATGTCTTCAAGTTTTACCTTTGTCTTTTAAAATGCTAAATTTCTGTTGATGGTATGAGAGAGAGGGAGGGAGAGCCACTATCAAGTGCTCCGTACAGAAAAACAAACTAATACTGATAAAATATTTGGAAGATATCAGAAGTTTCTGATCTTTCTGGCTGCTTAAATGTTTTCTGTGTTAATATACATTACTTAAATAAATGCTAAAGTAAATCCTATTTTTTT